TTTTACGTCTTTCAAGAATGATATATAAAATTTTAGAGAATTTTACATAAGTTATACAATATTTTAGGTGTTTTTAATATTTTAAACAAACATTTTTATGTTCTTTCATACAAGATAATATTATATTGTTTACAACCGATAAACGATAAATTATATCACATATTAACTTCAAATTTTAATTTTTAAGTTTTAGTTAATATTGTTTACCATCATCTTTAATTTATAATTATTAGTTAATATTGTTTATCTTCATCTTTAATTTATAATTGTTATTAATATGTTTTACCCGTGCATCGCACGGGCTACGCACTAGCTAGGAACATTCAAGTGTCATGAAATCGAAGTTTAATCTATATTTATATAATAAGAATAATTATTTACTAAAAATAATAGTAAAACATTTTGGGAGCATTTAATGCATACTTTTTTTGGAAACTTTTTAAATATAATTAATTACTTTCATTTCACATTTTCAAATAAGATCAATTCAGATATGATAAAAAAATTGTTTCTTTAAATAATTTTATTAATATCTGCAATAATAAACAAATTTATTTATATTTGCAATAATTTCATTGATATTCATTATGATAAATTACAAGATTGATTTTCCGTGATTTACGTTAATACTTTCATCAAGATAACTATTAATACAGTGTACTTTAAGTTCTAACCATAATATAGTTTTTTCCAAAGTATACATTTTTTATCCAAAAATATTTATAAAAAATCGTAATAGGTTAGGTAAAAAAATTTCTTCCAATTAATCAAGTAAAATCAAGTTGGTGAATTGATTTGTCAATATAATATTTTCTTAAGTTTTATTTTGCTATACTCTATCGGCACACTATCTTTGGTCCAGTTATTCATAAAAAATAAATTATTCTTCAAATTAATATTATTTAACATTACTGTCTTTGGTCCAGTTATTCATAAAAAATAAATTATTCTTCAAATTAATATTATTTAACATTTAAGAGATAATGACTGAACACATTAGACAGTTTTAGTAACGGTCAAAATTTTATTTTTTTTAGAATTTATTTGTATATTATTGGCAACCATGATTATGTTTTTTATCATTTTTTTATTTTTATTTATTTTTATAATGAAATTCTTGTAAAATATATTTTCATTGCAGAGTATGCTAAATAAACTATAAATCATTATAATGCGAATCAGAAAAATCTTGATTGTAGAAGTGCTTGAGTTTTTGGCATTTTATAAATCAAAGTTGTTTAATTAGTTAACAAAATTAAATTCTAAAAAAACATATGTGTTATTTTGTAAATATTTAAACACTATATTTAATTTTAATTTATTTACATATTTTAAATTAATTACATAAATAAATAATGGTAACGTGCATTAAATATTTACATTACATTACATATAATAAAAAGAAAAAGAAGACGTACAACTTCTATAACTTTTATAAATAATAATGACATTATTTGACAACAAAGTTTATAATAAAATTACAATTAAGTATTATGGTGAACAATAATAAGTAAAATTGTATTTCTTTTATATCAAGGAATAAATATATATAATAAAATCATTATTATTAGTATAAATGTGTTAGTGAGATAATATATTAATTATTTTACTCGTTAGCCCTAACATGCTCATATCTAATGTTCTGGCTAAAAATACAACGCTGATTAAAAGAGTTGAGAAATATATTATAGCCATATAGTTTTTAAATGAGGAGAAAATATATGATAACCCTATTTATTTTTAGACATAAACAGACAAGACCGGTGAAAATAACTCAGTTAACATCTATGTCCCACGAGGTATCTACTAGTTAAAGAGAATATATGTTGATTCAAAAATTTGGTGGTTGAATTAGGTGTGTGGCCCGAGTCGAAGAGTTTCAATGATGAGGGGATGGGACCCATACCACACACGTGGAAAGGAATTTGTCAGTCTGGTGATGCATTCAACTCATCACACTGTAATAGGTAAAAAGTTTTATATCCCTAATTACATTACATCACCTAAATAATACACAAATATATTACATATGTACACTAATGATAACACGTGTTTTTTATTTTATATTTTCTTGATGAAATGCAAACCTAAATTTCATGAATATTTAATAAAACTTTCCAACAGGAAGATAATTGGCGCTCGGTACTACCACAAGGGCACCGAAACCGAGAACGGCCCGGTGAACCGAACAATAGACTTCCTTTCTCCCCGTGACGTGCACGGGCACGGGACCCACACGGCATCCACGGCCGCTGGACGGCGGGTCGACAACGTCTCGTCGTCCACCGGCTTTGCCCCGGGTGTCGCCACCGGCGGCGCCCCGATGGCACGCCTCGCCATTTACAAGGTGGATTGGTTGTCCATAGGCAGCTCTGAAGCCGACGTGCTTGCCGCCTTCGACGATGCCATAGCTGACGGGGTCCACATCATTAGCATCTCAATGAACAACGATGATCCAACCCCTTACGCGTCGAGTGGCATAACAGTCGGGGCTTTCCACGCAGTCCGTTATGGCATTGTCGTGGCCGGCAGCGCGGGGAACTTCGGCCCTGTGCTTAATGAGGCCCTGTGGATGGTCACGGTCGGCGCCACCAGCCTGGACAGGATGTTCAAAGCTCCGGTTATGCTCGGGAACAACCTTA